AATTCGTTCTTCCAAGGAACAACTTATCAAGCATGCATATAATCCACTTCTCACAAACTTAAACCTATTGACCAATTATACTCAACCTACAAGACTCGTCAATGTCATCACATGTCAAACATTACATCCACTATATCATCTCAGTGGAAATCTCTCAACCAACCTTAACAACATAGAAGTCAACTGTGTTACTCGTATTAACGATCTCTCAGTCAACACAACCAACATAGAGGCTTTAGTCACAGACACCAAAGTGAATAATAGCGCTAAATATATCTCAAGAATCCAGACACTATTAGACAATCATCCTACATAAGAATTCGAGCAGTATTTGTTTATAACAACCCAAATCCCGAGCATAGAGCAAAAATTCAGGACACCAATCAACAAATATTTGTAAAGTAAGTTTTATATAACACCATGGGCGACAAATATACATAAGATCAAAGTAAAAAACATACAAACCAAAATAAAAGAGAATACACAAATAAAAACAGAAATGAACCACAAATCTCCCGGTTTGTCAATGTCGATCAAAGAGCAATCCATCCTGGATCATCCGTATGCAAACTCCATAGTTGTTATCTAAGTAAACCTAGAGAAAAACGAGGGTTGATGGAGTTGGGAAAACAAAATCCACCCCCAAAACCATAACCGAACAAAATGAAATGAAAATGAAATATATACAAAAATTTGGTCCGCACGCGTCGCCCGACGATATAAAAGCTTCATCCGGCGACATAAAAGCTTCGCCTAACGACGACCATTAAATACAAGGCCCAAGTTGTACCACGTACGCAACTGGCCAAAAATATCCACCCTCGCCCGACGAAGGGAAGCTTCGCCCGGCGGCATCCTTATTTCTCGCCCAGTAAGCTGCTGGCGAGCCGAAGTCAGTGGCTAATAGAATTTGATGAAAACCTCTCGCCCCTCCATCTCCCGGCGAGGCAGAAGCAAAGGCTCCTCGCCTAAGCTTCGCCCGACGAGGCACAACAAAACAATAACTTTTGTTGCTCTTCCTGCATAACTCCAATGGATCTCTTTTCTTGGCCTTATTTCTTTATTGATCCACAAATAGATCTTGGAGCTTTTATTCCTCTAGCTCCAACAATGCTCAAATACCTACAAAATGAATACAAAACTATCAATCAATACACTATGTATACAAAAATGCAAATAAACACAAACTAAACGAATTTATACACAAAGTTGGGTTATTAACTGATACTAACAACAAAGAGTCGATAAGTGCAACAAAAAGTATATACAAAAATAACTACAATTTTCACCTATCAACAAGTCTGCATACATGATATCTACAGAGTTGCCCTCGTCGACCAGGACACAACAGACGTCAAAGTTCTCCATTTTTGCTCTCACCAGCAGAGGGATGTTGGCGTTCAGCTCCCTGCCAGGCAGTTCTTCGAGATAGAAAGTGATTGGTTTAGACCTTCCACATAACCTTTTGAGAGTAGTGTTCTTGGTCGAGCTTACATCGATCAGCTCCTCGAACTTTCTCTCCACTGACTCGACGGTGGTCGGGTTGAACCCTCTGCCGGATATGACCATGGCGGAGGGAAAACATTCCCAGGTGCTGCGAGTCGAGATGGGCATGTCGTCCTCCTCGTCAGGCTGAGAGATGCACATGGCTACCTGCAGGTTGACGGCCTCGTCGGCGGGCAGAGATGCCTCCTCGGCCGTCTTTGTGTCGTAGACGTCTCGTTGGGTAGCTTCGCTCCTTTTGGTTTATTGTCTCAAATGGTCTTCCTGGATGAGAGTCTCGATGGAATCCTTGAGGTGGATGCAGTCCTCTGTGACATGGTCGTAACTCTTTTGTAAATGACAGTACTTGGATTGTCTATATTGAGCTTTGCGGGAATCAGCTTGGGAATTCAAACTCCAGCTTGCTTGAAATCACAGTTGATACACTCCACGAGGATCCGGTCATAGGGAACAGTCAGCGGAGTATATTCGGTGAAACGGCCTGCTGGCCCCTTGTGTTCACAGGAGTCGCGGGGCCGATCCTTCTTTCTTTTATCCCCTCCTTGACAGAGGGATCCAGTATTATCATGTTTTTGGATTCTAGTGCTCTCTTAAATCCTCTAGTCCTGGGCGTTTTTGGTTGTCTCTTTCTCCTCATACGTGATATAAGACTAAGCTTTATAGAGGAGATCCTCCCATGAATTGGGAGCCTTGATGTCGACCACTTTTCTGAAGTCGCTGCCTGGATGCAACCCCGTCTTGAGTAGGTACCTCTTCATCCTGCCAGTTATGGGGACTTGGATGGCCTCACGGTTGAACTGCTCTATATATGATTAGAGGGGTTCGTCATTCCCCTGAATGATAGCCTCGAGGGACGCTTAGGTTTTGGGGCGAGGATTTTGTACCAGGCCATGGCACTTTTTCTCAAAGTCGTCAGGAATGGTCTGCACTTGATGACACCCTCGATGTTGTGGTAGTGGACCATCTCCTTGAAGCTTTCGAGGTGATCGTTGGGGTCTGTGGCGCCATCGTAGGTTGCCAAGGGTGGAGGTTTTTCCATTCCCTTGGGAATGGAGTCCTCAATGATCGTCCGGGATAGTGGATCGCTGGAGTCGTCTTTGTCGCTTATGTCAAGGGAGCATGATGGGGAGGAGTCAAACTGAGGGCCCTTTCAGCGCGATAAATCTCTTGGTCGACTTATGTACTTCTCCGGATGCCCTCCAACTTTGTTCCTCTTAGGAGCTGGGGATCTTCGCTCTTTGCGCGGTGGGGTGCAGTCACACTTCTTGGGGACTTCAGGTTATGTTCTCTCTAGCCGGGGGGCCCGCCCGGTTCCGGTTCAGCGAGGAGAGAGGCTCTAGGAGTCATCCCGCTGACGTTTCCGCGAGGGAGATCGTGAACGGGCCTCTCGTCATCGTGGGGACGAGTTATGAGAGTCACATCTTCGGTGCCTTCTGGGGGAGCATGACCGTCGGGTCTTTTTCAGCATCCCTATCCATTCACTCTGCGCGAAGATCAGGTAGTTGGTCTGATTGATTGTCGCGAACAGGGCCTGGGTTGTGGGATCAGCATTGGCGGGCACATGGATTTCCTGGTACATCACAGACTCCTCGACCTATCGGTGAGGGTTGTCTAGAAGATGCTCACGGGTGGAGGAGGAAGTCGTCCTGTAGTCCCTACTATCATGTTGGTGAGTGTCAGTCTCATTGTTGTTATTGTTGTTGAGGTTTCTGACGTCGTCTAAATGAACATTCTCCTCGCCGTTGTTGTGTTGGTCGGACATGATGATCAGTAAGTTGAAAGAGTGCTTTGGTCTTAAGTTGGAAAAAGACGAGGAAGCAATTTATTTTCCACAGACGGCGCCATTGATCGTACCTGATTAGAATGGATCATTGATGACCTGCGAGACTTGGACTGAACGATGATTGAAGGTGAAGTGGGGGGTACCTGCAAGACACTCCGATGTCAAAGTGAAGTTCAGAGAAAAACGCAAGTAAAGAGTTTGAGTGAGAAGAATAATGTACCTGACCCTCTAGTGAAAGAGAGTATTTATTTCCCCCTCTAGTCAACTGTCCCGGAATCCTCAGATAGTGGAAGAGCCGTTCTTCCAGGACAACAAGAGGTTCCGTAAAGTTCGGGGCAGTTGGGCACATGCCCATGAAGGGATACATGGAGGTGACTCCCTAACAGTCCTGATTACTTGGGCCATGACGTTGGACCTTTCTTGAAGCATTGCTAGACTGGGCCATGCCCTACAGTGGGACAGCTTCGGGCCCAGTCCAAAACATAACTAAAGATGTATTTATGAATGGTTAAGTTGAGATGAACTCTACTACTAAGCATGTTAGCAATATTAACCATCCTTAAGAAAGAAATACATATTTAACTCTTACAATCTAAGATGAAGAAATTACTCAATATACTCACTCATAAAACGAAATGAGATTGTGTTTTTGTCTGAAATTTATTTTGATTTTTTGAGAAATAGGTACGTTCCAAATTTCAATTTCTAGAACCATTTTTGAGATAACTTTGTAGTGTGATTAATTAGTAGTATCAAAGAAGAATCTGAATTTTAAAATTTAAATTTGTTTTTAACATTTGATTGTTTATATGTTGTGTATTTGAGGCTCGTTCGAATTTTAAAATCTAGAATGTAAGAGCATTTTTTGAAATTTGTCAAGGTCCTCTAAGACACATGAGTCGTATTTAACAATCCCAAAAAATAAATAAATTATGCTATCATATTATGTAACTTTTCAATTCAAAAGTCAAATGAATTGTTGATGTAAGATATATAATATTCTCTCCGTCTCAAAATAGCTATCACATTTAATAAATAAGTTTGTTCTAAAATATTTATTACTTTATATTACCTAATACAATTTTATATTTAATCTTTTACTTAAATCATGTAATAAATACTCTTAATTTATTATTTTCTAACTTAACATTAATGTCAATTAAAATACACCAATAATTAATCAATCAGAATAATTTGGTAAACTCATTATTCTCTCTATTTATTTATTACTATTTCTTAATCTTTGTGAAATAGTCTATTGTGACAAATAATATAGGACAAAGGGAGTACATTCATTTTCATTTGAAATCCTCTCCATTATATTTTCATTTTATCCGACGCCAATTTTGACCCTTTAAAGGACCCAAGATAAAGAGGAATAAAAGTACCGTTAATGACTTGGGGTGTCTTCATTTGACGCAATGTGAGCAAAAAAAGGAGTGTAAACTTTCAAAGATTTTAACTGTATTAATTAACACAACATCAGTCTATGTTAGGCCAACTTACAAGCCCAAGTGAGAGCACAAAAAGATATATACTACATCATCCGGCATGCCTATTTTCCAACCCTCAAGTTTATCAGCTTCTTCAACCTTGGGAACCAAGACATGCGCAGAGATTTTGTAACGGGACAGCATCCGAAGTTCAACTAATCAATCCGCAATAAAAAATGTAACTTAGTTTGAGCAGAAGCTTATTATCTCTTGGTTAAAGATTAACCCGAGTTTGATCCCTTCCCATGCTGAACAGCCCGAGGAACAAATGACAAGCCTTTGGTGTTACGACGACCAAAGCTGATAGAGGAAGGAGTGGAGTCCGATGTATTCAATCTAGAGACTGCTGAAACAAGGTCATCTATGGCTGCATTTTCCACTTCCATCATTCCTGAAGTATCCTCCTTATGAGAAGGTTTTTTGCGTTGAGACTTCTTTCTCTGTTTTCTTGAAGGCAGAGCCTTCTTGAAAAACTCAAATGATGTCGGGAATTTATGCTTGTCGACCAGATGCTGCTGCCTACTTTTGTAGCTTTTGAATTTCAAACCACAACCTTCCACTAAGCATTCATACTATATTACAAAGAAATAAGAACCATGTTAAAGGCAGTACTATACAAAATTGTTTCATGATATCAAACTGAATCATATTTCGAGTTTACGCGTATACTACCATATCATAGCCACGTGCAACTTTTGCCTGAAAGAAAGAATCATGAGCTTCGGATACATGTATGCTGAGCAAACGTGATGTTGGATAGACTCTAGAACACACAGTACAGGATGCAGTATGTCTTGCATTATAGTGATTTTCAAAGTCCTCCATTGAAGCCAAACGCGCTCCACACCCAACAATAGGACAGAAGACTTCCCTGCACAAAGGGATATACTACAAAATGAGGCGCACACACTAGAGATTACCTTCTTGGACAAAGCAGAATCTTCAACAAAAGGTAAAGCTTCGAGTGTAATACAAATCAAATTGTTTTTCCACATAAATGATTAGATGTAGATGAAATCAATATTGAGAACTAGAAGAAAGGTCTTTCACTCAGAATTAAGTAGACTAACATAAAACTATAGCTATAAATGACAATCCATCATGGACTATTTTCATAAGATAATAATAGCAACAGCTTCTATCAGACATCAGTTGAGTGTTGAGTAAGACCTAATAACAGGTCATTTAAATAAGCATGCCTTACTCCAATACCTATTGAATATGAATATATTATGCATCGTATTTTTAAAAATAAAAGATCAGCAAACCGAAAACATGGATGCAAAATTACAGTATTTTTAATGTCAGCACAACAGCAACTGCAATCGAGGTTGTATAAGCCACATTTGATTGTGATCTCAGAGTAATATTTGCGAGGGTTTTTATTAGAACTAGAGTTTGACCTAACTTATTTCTACAAAACCGACTTATAAGGTGAGGAGTACCCTCGTATTTATAAACATATATCGAGACATTTAGAGTGAGTGGAAACAATATGTATTGCTCTTGACCAAATGTGAATGCCTCCTCTTCATGGCCAATTAGTGGTATCAGAGCAACCACAAAAGAGAGACAGCTCATATTCACCCAAAATCTTAGGCCAGACGGTTTTGTAAGAATGAATTATATCAAACTTTAATTCTAATATGGTATAATAACCTATTAATCAAACTCCACCCACCGTTTATATCCACGCACCAGGCAACAATGTTGGGCGTGAGGGGGTGTAAAATAACATTTAACAAAACTATAAAGTAATAGTAGAATCAATACCTATCATCTTCTTGTATAAAACTCTCAATCTGTTCCTTCTCTTCTGTAAACTCCAAAGCAACCTTTTCAAATACAAATAGTAATAACAACAATTCACATTTCAAAAACAAAACCTAAAAAACAACAACGGCACACAACACGAAACAATCAGAATAGAACCTGTTTGACAAGAAGTTCTCGTTCGAGGTTACCGATAGCGAAGAAAGGCGAATCCGGTTGGAACCTGCGAGGAACGGGTTTCCAGAACGGAAAGTTTGAATCTGGGTTTTGATTTTCAACATCCATCGTCTCAGTGACGTTTGTTCTTCGAGTTGAACTAGTGATTCTGATGAAGAAAAGAGGTTTTGATTTGTTTAAGTTTTTTGATTGTGTGGATGTGGGGCACCCGTTTGTTTTCGGGTTATTTGTTTTGGGCCTTCTCCATTCCCGGGTCATTAGTTTCGGACAAGTCCATTTGTATATTGTTTGGAGATGTGTCAGACGTCTTTGAAAACTCGAAAAATATCTTTCAAACATTTAGAAATGTATCTTCAGATGCATTTAAAACAAACAAAAATTCGCGCAACTAACACACTATGATTTAATAGTTTTGATTTTTTATTTTATAATCTTTTTTAATTTGGTGTTTGATTATGTATGTTTGGATTCAGATTGTTCAAATATATATGTTTTAGGTTGTTTCGGTTGCAAAATTATTTATTTAGTATAAACAACATCATGATTGTTGTGTGTTCATAGAATTTGATTGAGATAAATCTACGAACACATTCAAATTTTTGTAAAATAAAACTGTTTAATAATTTATACTGAAATGTGTGTAAAAAAAATATATTCGAAGATATATTTTTGAACGCTAAGAACATTTGTGACTTTTTCACAATGATACGGTAGAACATATAAGGGTGGAAAAAGTGATATTTATTATTTTTTAAAAAGTCCATTATGTATTTTTTTTAGACAATGTGTTAATTTTCTGTTTTGTTGTGATTGACATTATTTTTGGTAAAATTAACTTAACATACATATATTGGATGAAGATGTTCTATCAACTGGAGCAACATGTCGAATGCGATGTCCTATGCAGTTTCTTTTGACATCGTGATTCTGTACAATTGGACTGTTGGATTTTTTTGTTTGTTACAGGTGCAAAATATTACGCAAAATATTATGCTATTCTATGTGACACACAGTTTGAAGATTAAAAAGATTCAAGTTGATTTCGAGAAGAATTGTTAGTTTCTAATTATGGGGATAATTTAGAAAACTAAAGATTGATATCCTATCTTTAAGGAGATAATGTTGCAGCTCCTCTATCATATCCAACTGCATATGTGAAGCCCAAATCCAATTTATTGAAGGTTATAAATAGAAGGCTTCAACCCTAGTACAAATGTGGAACTTACTGTGTATTTTTATTAGGATTTGTGTGTTAATTGTGAGCCTCTCGATTATCATCTTGATAAAAGAGTAGGACTTTGCTTTTGAGTTGTAAGTTTTGTCAATCATTTCAAAGCTTTTAAGTAGTGAATGATTGTGTGTCTTTTAAGTGTGACTTATGTTATTTTCTAAGTGTTTAGAATTGTTCAGTAACTAGTCTATATTTGGAAGGGATTTGAGAGGAGTCTCATACCTAGGTGAGTCTTAGGTAGAAGTTAAACAAGGGTAGTGATTAAGTACGAAGTTGTAAACGGGGGGGGGGGGGGGGGGGGTGTTTAGCTTCAAATTGATACTATCTAGTTGATTTCGTCCCTGGCTTGGTAGTCCCCAAAGTAGGTGTTCTTGTACACAGAACTGGGTTAACAATCATGTGTGTTCTTTACTTGTATGCACTTTGTTTATCGTTTATCTTGTCATTGTGTGTTTGTTCAGAGAAAGATGTCTCGACATCTCTTAGGACATATGTGATCTGACTACTAGAATTTCAATTGGTATCAGAGCAGGCATCCTGCTCTGACTCGGGGTGAGATTCAGGGAAGATACTTTCTGGTATAATGGACATGGAAGGAGGATTTATGAACACACCACCTATTCTTAATGGAACCAACTGTGACTATTAAAAAGTTAGTATGGTAGCCTTTATCAAATCCGTGGACAGCAAGGCTTAGAAAGTTGTGGTCATGGGATGGGATCCACTAATGATTGTAAGACCTGATGGGAAAGCTACTGATGTTGTGAAGGCTGAGGAAGACTGGGATGATAAAAATAAAGAATTATCTCGAGGAAATTCTAAAGCCTTGAATTCTATGTTCAATGGAGTGAACAAAAATATCTTTAGACTGATAAGCACTTGCAATGTTGCCAAAGAAGCCCGAGAGATCTTGAAGACTGCTCATGAAGGGACATTTAAGGTGAAGATGTTAAGACTTCAGATTCTTACCGCCAAGTTTGAAAACTTAAGAATGAAGGAGGATGAGATTATTCATGACTTCCACATGAATATTATTGAGATAGCCAATGCCTCAAGTGCTCTATAGGAGAAGATGTCTGAAGCTAAGTTAGTGAGAAAAATTCTCAGATCTATACCAAAGAGGTTTGAAATGAAGGTGACTGTCATTGAAGAAACCCAATATGTAACACCCCAAAATAATTAGAGTATTTATTTAATTATTTGATTAATTTATGTTGAGTATTTATGGCTTAATTGTGATGTTTATGCGATGTATGGATGATCATGACATTTGATATGATGTTTTATGTGGTGTATGTTGGGGTAGTAGGAATTAAGAAGATATAAAGTATTTTAGAACAATTTAGATGATTAGAATGATTAGTTGAAATTATTTTAATTGGTTAAATAGAAATAAAGTATGATGTAGAGACTATGAGAGTAAGGGCATATGGTGAAGTAAGTGAGGGTAAGAAGGGAAGAACATATTATGGGTCCAAGAGGTAAGATTAACAAAAGGAAAATAATGCTAGTGTTTTTTCATTCTGAACGATCGTTTTTGGGAAAAAGAGAGACAGAGCAAAGCTAGGACATTGGAGAACTCAGAGGGTTTTTGTAGAACGCGAGAAGAGGAAATAGATTACTTCTAGGAATCTAAGGTAATGGGGTTTATCGTTGTTATTATAATTGATCTAAGATTTAGATAACTGTAGGTTTGTGTTGGGTTTTGTTTGATGATGTTAATATGATTTTTGATGATAAATTGGTGAAATTTTGATGTCTTATTGCAAAGAATTGATGCATATGATGTATGGTAAATTGTGTTGTTGTTATATGATGAAACCAAGTAAAATTATGATGATTGGAGACATGTAATATGATGAAATCATGTAAAAATTGGACTGGTACAATACAAAGATCGCAATAAGGAAGTTCTGTTCGTGAAGGATCTCTGGGCGATATAAAGTGTCACTAGGCGAACTTGGAAGTGAAGGGATAGGCAGAAAAGTGGAGCTACTTTAGTGTCTCGCTCGCGTCATCTTAGGGCAATGCAGGAGCGAGAGGTGCGTCACCAAGCGAGTAAGATGCATCGTCGGGCGATGGAGGCCAGAGAAGAATTGGTGGGTTGTCACTCCCATGTCGTCAGGCGAGCCTCAGGCGAGCAATGTGCATCGTCGGGAGAGCACCAGGCGATGTACAAGTGACTTAGGCAAAAATTAGGGCATCCCGCTGGACTTCAAAATCAAAATTCAAAAGAATTTGTCTAGGAAAAAGTTAGGGAAAACGAAAAAGAAAAATGAAAAGCCTGAAAGGCAAGAAAGGATTACAAAATGAAGATCCTTAGCAAAGAACAAAGTCGTGTGACCAAAAACACAAAAGAAGCCAAGGTGAGTGACTGTCATGTACAAGAAACCTCAGTGGTTCCTCAACCATCATAAACTCCTCTCGAGAGATGAGTGCTCGTACTGGGTTAACTAAATGTAGAACTAGAGAATATCATGGAGAATGGGTGGGAACCAAATAATTTTGAGCCTTAAATCTTTTTTTCTAAAACCGTGAACCAGGCCACGTTACAATCCTTGAATGTCCTAACTGAAGCATGGGTTAATTCAAAATCAAAACTGTAATGAGAGTATAGTAATCTGACTCCTAAGAGGCTTGCTAAAAATTTTGAGTTGGTATCACTCCATCCTTTTATCTTCTTTTGTACAGAAAAACTTGATGTTTCAACATCTTTTCAATAAAAGTTTTTAACTTCAAGACAAACATAGGATTTGCATTAGAATTATCATTCTTAGAATAAACATTCTTTTCATATAAACAAGTGCTTAAACATCAAGTAAGCTTGCATAATGAGCATCAAATGAAAGTTTGATTATCTCGAGGGACAAATTGCTTCAGAAATATATTGAAGAGAAAATCATTTTTGAAGATGATTCTAATCCGGGGCATACCTTCTATTGACTATGTTGAGTAAAAGAAGACTAGTTTGAGAAGTGATCAGAAGTTGGTTGTTTGAAAACCTTGATGATTGTGTGGAAGTTTCGATTGCCCAGAAGTCTCCGTTGAGCAATGGTGTATCACTTTTAGTTTGGTCATAAAGAACATATTGCTTCAAGTATCTGCTTGAACATGAGGCAATTCAAGTCGAGAAGTACGATTATGTACTAGCCTACTTTCAAGACGTAAGTCAATTACCCTAAATGGCAAAAGTTTGAGGCTCTATTGTGTATGACGAGTTTGTTTTCCCAACAATGTTCATTGTCGAACGTAGCTAGCCCGAGGAAATGAAAGTCGAGAGGAGATATCTCAAAAGTATCCAATCTAGGGCATTCAAGTCGGGATTCAATCCATCAAATGTAGCTTAGTTGGGGCAGTTATATCGAGATTTGATAAATCTCTTTGAGAATTCGTTGATGAGAGGAGAATCATTTCAGAATCTGAAGATGCAGGGGTATTCATTCAAGCATGGTTGAAACCGCTTCTACCTCTGGTCAGTCAGGGGCAATGTTTTGAAATTCATAATAGTGGGGCATGTTATCTTAATGGTATAGATCTTAGAAAGTCATCTCAAGGCAATTTTCTTCAAAGGCGTTACAGACAGGGGCAAGGTATTATTCATGGACATCCCCCCACTTTAGAGTCTGATCAATTTGAGCCCAGACGCAATTTAAATAAATATTGAAGAATGAGAAATAGGGTTTGATTATCCTCGGCTCATCAAAGGCCTAAGTCTGGGTCATTGGTGTTCCCCCATCAGAAGTTAGGATCATTATCTCCCACTAAAGTTTAGATCGTTATCCTCAGCAAAATACACGCAAGAAAGTAGGAAGCATTTGAGGTTGTTACCCATACAAGGTTCATGATGGAAATGTTGTTTCTTAAAAGGACTCCTTTC